ACATTATTTGCTAAATTTTTGGGTCAATTTTGATTAATATGTTTACTTCAATACGTATCCTAATTGTCTACTGTTAAACCTTTAATTTCCAACATCTAAATTAACGAATATCAATTTTATTACGAATAGTAGAACAAACTGTACTCTAAATGTCCGTAAGTTTAGTGTTAAGAATTAAAAAATGTGTAAATAGGTGCTTTGACATAGTTTGTGTGATCAACTACCGGTTGCTAATGGAGCATTTCCGCTTGTTCAAGCGAGCAATTGATCCATTATATTACAGAAGCTATCGGATTTGCCATTTTCGCGAGAAAACGTATTCTAAACGGTCCTTGAGTAGTGCCGTATCGCTCTGGAGAGAAATTTCGATCTAACACGATGGGTTGGTTTGTTTCGAATCGATCTTCGATTGGCGTCTGCTTTGAAGTGAGCCGAGTTACAGATTACGTGAAAGCGGCCCATGGACCATGACCAAAGGTGTTCGCACGAAACAATTTCGATTAGTTTCGACGCTTGGATTCTGGCTTAATGATGTATACTCTGTGTCGTCAAACGTAGATCGAACTGCTCGATGAAGTATACAAGCCTTCCTTGTTTGCATCGCAGATGCTGTAAAGTAGATCAAAGATCTTCTTGGCATTAATTTAAAGTCTTTTTTAATATATAGAATAAAGGATAATATTTTGGATAGTGGTACCTAATATGAAACACTTTATTTGAACAGCTAGCCAAAACGATAGATATGCATTTTAAATGGATCCTGCATCGAAACACGAAGAAATTAATAAACATTCACACACTGATCGATAACAATGCAAAACTTTAAATTCCTTCAAACCGCGGTAAAAATATAAATAAAATGAAAAAAAGCAATCTGTAAAAATGACACCTAATACGAAACACCTAGGTAATTTGTGAACAAAAGTAATTTAAAGGATGAGAAATGAATATTTATGAAAATAAAAAGTATAAATAAAAGAATATTCCACTTTTTTGAACTTATATTATGTTAATTTTTTCTTTTTTTATCTTTTATACATTGGATATATGAATAACAGATCGGGGCCACTAGATTATTCGTGAATACAATGCATTGGTCATATTTTTTTCCATTATTATAATTTTTTTAATTGTTACCATGAAATCAAAATATAACGTAATAATATGTAACATTAAGAAAGATTGTGCACACAATACGGGACGTGTTCCATTTTAGAAACCCACGTATTCAGACAGAGAAACAATAACTATTCTAAGAGAAAAATAAATTTGCAACAAATTGCTTCTGAATAGTGAAAAACAAATGTGTCCAATGATAAATCATGAAAAAACAAAATTGTTTGGCCTATCAATATTAAAAAATTTGACTATTCAACTAGTCTTTAAAAAATTTAATATACTATCAAACACAATAATGCTTCGCATTCAATGACAAATTGTTAATTAATGTCCAACTATTAATATGATTGTTTTTCATTATTAATGAGGTGTTTCCCATGGTAACAGACACATTAATTGATTTATTTTTCGAAATATTGTGCTGTTCCATATCAGGCACCGTTAACCTATATGTAGTATTAGTGGTTTGTTGGTTAACATTGTAATATTACAATTACTAATATTAATATTTAATAATAATTAATATTATTAATAGCATTGTACTGTCAGTATTTAATTAATCCAAGAATCTTTTTCTGCATGACTTGTTCTGTTTTCTAATAAGTTTGGTTCTATTGATATGAATGTATGAAGTACAATTGGCAAACGTTAATCGTTATATCAATAATATTTTATCGAAAAGCAGAGATAGCTTACACGTTTAACTATTCTACTAAACTTGTTTATTTAAAGATTAAACCACATCGATGTTGATTACGAAATTTCTATGTGAATAAAAATACAACTCTATATGCGTATCAGTTACCACGAAAAGTATCTAATAACCTAATATCCAGTTCGGTTAGCGCAGACATGTTTATCGTGGTTTGTTTCAAGATGATTGATTATATAATTCGATCACTTATTGATTTTCAATAATCCGGTTCGCTCTTTCTCTGCGAAACGTATTAAACATCGATTAATCATTCTCACGTCAGTATTTATTTTGTTATTACGTTACAGATATTAGACTCTCTCTCTCTCTCGCAGTGAGAATCATTTTACGTTTATCCGATTATGTGTATACCAATGTTACGTTCTTTAAATTTTAATATTCCTTTGCAGTTCTTTCTAAGAATAAAAATAGTGTATAACTAACGACTATCGCGATGGTTGTTAACGATATAATTAGAAAAATGATAAATTATATTAATAACAGCGAAACATAATATGTAGGTCAGATTTATTATAACGAATAAATATTAGCTATTTATTTACTTATTTATTTATAATATCAAGTCATATTCTGTTTGAAGACTTTATATTATATGTATTATATATAAATATTATATACTTTCATCAAATCATTCGAAGAAAATTAATTCTTTTTCTCTTTGGGAATTATACCTTCATCGAAAATTTACTTTTATCTTATAAGGAATACGTAGTTTTTCCTTTTTAATTTGGCCAACTTGAATTAATAACCGAATAACTCTTGCAACCTTATTAGGAAAAAAGTCATAAAGCAAGGAGTTAATGGAAAGTAGTGAGAAGACCTCGGCAATAATTTTTCAAACGAGTTGAATTTAATGGCCATGGGTTGCCAGTAAATCGACCATAGAGTATCATCGATTTCATCCCGAAACGACGTACTATTGAAAATTGAACGAGCGAACGCATGATTTCCATAGTGCTCGGTTTAACTACCAGCTTCAAATGTTATGCTCCTAGAACAAGCTGTGCGCGCGATCAGCTTTGTACGAAATTTATTTAAAAGAGACAAGAGAGAAGAATTCGCGGGGAACGTTTAATTTACATTCCCCAATGAATTCTGCCTTGTCCCTTTGCTAAATTCTTCCCCGTTTTCTGTGGAGAACGTGTAATTTTCAAGAAAAATATTAAATTTAAACAAATTTGAATTCTACTTCGATATTTGCAACGCGTATGCTTCTTGACTGGAAAACTTTTCACACCAGTGGACCAGCTAATTTCACTTTGAACTGGATAAAAGATCGACCTTGAGTCCAATTAAACTTTCAACTGGAAGTTGACCGTTAATTTGATTAAATTGAGACGCGTGAACGAGTGTTTCGGAGATTGAAGACACGGCGATTCAGCGGACATTTAGTTTTCGATGAAATTAACGTTGAATTGATTAATATCTAAATTATACCAGAAACAAGAGATTCGATTGACGAAAATGTTAGTCTCGACGAGAATATTATTTTCTCTGTTTTTGATTAAAAAATTGTGAACTACAAATATCTTCGAATTATTCATTAAAAATTAAAGTGGACTGTATTAGCTGGTGTTGGGGTTTGACTACTTGGTGACCTTAATCGCTGAAATAAATGTACAGAAAAAACGTATTAAGTGAATTGGAAATGCTTTTGAGCCTATGAAGTCTCGTCGCTGACTGAATATGGTTTTGAATCTTTAACAAAAATAAAAGTTGATATATTGATAATATTGATAATAACTGAATGATAATTGAAATAATGTAAATAAGAAGCAATGTATAGTGTTACTATAGTATAAATAATGAAAGGGTGGATCTTGAGTAATCGAAGAATAAATATATAGCTAAGAAAACACATTCGTTAAAAGTCATCTCTTCGTCGTAGGTCACCGCGCGCAAACAAAACTCGCAATATTTAAATATCATTTAGTGGGTGTGAATATTATATTGGTCATCGAGACGCGCGAAAGTGTCCGGTGAACCGGAAAGATATCAACGAAGCGTCGACTTTCGCGAGAAATCTGGAACAATATGATTCGATAAGGGGATCCGTTCCGCGCGTTAATTAATATGCGAACGTCGTCCTTCGGTTCTTCAATGAAATTTTCGCCGTAATTCAAGGAGAGCGAGCCTGTCAGCCCCGGAAGTGTTTGACAACTAATTCGTTTCGAGTGATCGTATACAAAGCGGTTTGTCCATTGACGCCAACGATCGGGAGTGCATTCGATTTATAAATCACTTTGAAGTTTCGATGAGCCTGTGGCGGAGGGCGGCACCGTACGTACCACTGGAAAACGAATGATTGCACCGGCAATTTGCGGTTATTGGCTCCCCCCCCGGTTTTTTGGCATGAATTTTACGAGTTGCTGGCCTTGATTTCCTCTTCGCCTTCTAACGCCTGTCTTCGCTCTCGCGGGTAGAATTTGTGCACCTACCTTGATTGGCCGTTTCGCGATCAAACAGATTGCACTTGACTGGGTTCCGAACACGAGGACTCGAGACAAATTGAAACGAACGTTTTTCGTTCGATCATTATTGCTCTCTAGTGTTGAATCAATTTTCCGAACTTTTTATCGTGGCAACTTTTTGGCGGATCTTTTTTACGCGTGACGAGTATACTCGTCAAAAACAGCTAACTGGTTAACACATTGATTGCCATGGCGATTAGCGATGACCAGAGCTTCCAGGTTACATCAGAATAATTACAATTTTTCAGATGATTAATGTCGAATGAAAATGTTTAATAGGGTAAATAGTTAGTAGGGTAAAATGGGATTCTTAAATAGACCTTTGGCTATAGGGAAATCAAAGATTTTTTTAATAAAAATATTTAGTTACGCAGGAAAATATGATTTTCTAAAGGTATTGAAATGGTATTGTTTATCAATGTAATAATCATTAAACATGAAACAAAACTCAATAAAAAATAGAAATATTTTTTAATAATTATTGTTTCTACTATAAAAACTTATTTTAGAACAATAATTCACCACTAGATGTATTAACATTATATTACATATAAAAGACGAATATGTTGAATCAAAGTATTTGTGTCAAATATGGCCAAGTAGATATTTTGGTTTTTTGAGTACTAAGAGGATTAATTGAAGAAAGAAATTTTTCTGAAATCATATTAATAATTAACTTTTTCTTTATTTTCTAGGACGAGAAGAATCAAATACTAACGACAAACGCGTGGCTCAAGCTGGTGAGTAGATTGACATCAATTATATTGACGCTAACATTCTTAACTTTCATTTAGTTTTAACTTTTATGTGAAACTATCAATTGAACACTGCCGTGTTGGTTATCAGAAAGCTGTAAATCCGGATGCACTGATAAATCGCTTCCAGCGACTCGAAAGTTGCCAAATGTCGACGAATCTCAACCTAACGAGACATTTCTACTATTGTAAAGTTCGAGAGTTCCACTTTGTTGAAAGACAACAACTCCTTCACCTATATTTTCCAACTAATAGGAACATTTCTAAGTTGAGATCTGACAATCGAAATTTACGACATACACAATTCCAATTATTTTACAATAATAAGAAATTTTATTGTTCTAACAATATCATTTATACCAACAATAACACTTGAAGAATTCTTAATAGACTGCAGATTTTTGTGCATATATGGGGAATTTAAGTGTAAGAAATTGCACAATACGAAGTAACTAAGTGCATAATACGAAAAAATATATCAAATATTCAAATTGTAGCGCTTTTTCTAGTATCTTTTTAGAAAATCCTTTTTCCATCATAATTTTATTTTTCTAATTATGTTATTAAAAATTCGAATTTGCATAAAAATTCGCAGTGTAATTATTAATATAGGTATTACAACATTTATAGTTTTATTTTTATAGTATTATTATTATTATTATAACTAATCTTAATAAACTGCTATAACTCAGACCATTTATAACGTATCAGAAAGTTTAGAGGCTCTCGGATTCGAGCATTAATTTTTTCTCGAGATTCCACGTTTTCTGGATGCGCCGCGAATCAGTCACGTTCGATTTCGTGTCTGCAGCGACGGAAGTTTCATTTGTCGCGTTCTGGATCAACTCGAGATTTCAATTCCATGGAAATATGATTGCAGAGAGACCTCAAGCGACACGTGGCGAATACCATTTCCATCTTTATGCAAATAGGGGATTCCGCGTGACAGACTGTAAAAAAGAATGTTGCCGGCTAATTGAATCGATTTTTTCATTTGCGTTGTATTCATCAGGCGGCTGGTCGATGAAGCGGAAACGCAAGACCGGTTGTCGGTGTTAGTTCCTTCGTATTGGATTCTGGCTGCAGTTTCCTTCGGTTTTCCATGAAAGGTACGCCACGTTGCCGGGTCGATTAGGTGGGAAAATGAAAGCTGTTACTTTTTCTCGACGTATTGGATTATACATTTGTAGACGAAAGTATCGACGTAATATACTCGACTCTACATACTATTATTTATAATTGAAGAATTCCAATAGAAAATACTGTACATGGTGAGACTGAAAAATTTTCTTTTTTATTCTTATCTAGTTTATTTATGCGTAAGTTCATAACACTGATAATATTAAAAGATGACATCATTATGATATTGCGTTTAACTTAATGATAGGTAATTTTCTTTGTTTTGAAAAATTTAATGTTGGCACTTACACATTTTTCTATAAATACTTGTCAATTAGAACATATTAAATAATTTGTATTGAAAAGTAATTACAGTGCTTAAAGAGAAGCCGGCAATAATTTAATTTAAAATAACAACTCAGCTGAAAAATTACTCTGACAATGAAATTGTTCTGTGATCAGTTCTTTTAAAAATTGAAGAATAAATATCTCACACAAGTAAAGGAAATTTTATACAAAAAGAAGCAAGAAGACATTAATTTAAAAGTCATATAAAACAGTCAAATTTGGTATTTCCATTTCCATTATTTATCTTCTACTTTCAAATAAATCAATTCCGTTTGCTACATTCAAATAATTAATTTATCTCCCACTTTCACATAAATCACTTCCTCTACTACCTTTAAATTATTTATCTTTAACGTTCAAATAAATCTGTTCTTTATACAACTTTCAAATAATTAATTTATCTTCTGCTTTTCAATAAAGAAATGAATAAATTTTCTCTACTAATTCCGAATAATTTATTCATCCCCAACTTTCAAATAAATCGTATCTATGTCGCAAGAACAACCTAACGTCCAGGAATCACCAATATTTATTTGCATAACAAAGATCGATCTCAGTTTACGGTACGACGAGTCAATTCTCGCGGCGCGTGCATTACGTTCGACTAAAGAGAAACTCCAATCACTCTTCTCGCGTTTTCGTTCGCGCTTCGCCGGGACTCGCGTCACGTGGGAAACAGAGGTGGCTGCCGGGTAGGGGGAGCGGTAAGAGGGAAAACATGGTAAAAGGGTGTACGGGTGGCTGCAGGGTGAAGAGGATTTGAGAAAATCGAGATAGCAGAATGATGCACTCTTGTGTCTTCCCGTTGCCTCGGCTCGGATCGAGATGAAAAGGACGGAGGCCACGTTTTCCGACGTTAGCTGGCTCGCGGAACCGGAGCGAGAGGGTGGCCGCGTGTCGCTGACATTTCGGTCTCCTTGTGATGCGCGAGTGCCGCTCGGAAATTTATTTACATATCTACAGTGCTCTCAAAGACTTCGCGACACTATACATTATTTATTATCGACCCCTTAGGAACATTTCCTACAGATACGGATGTCACGGCAGATATTCACTGCTGCCTCCTATGACGATACATATGCTATACGCCTTTCGCATTAGCTCCATCGGTCTACAAGCTAAAAGTACACAGGGGCAAGGGGACTCTTCCACTCACGAGGCCTGGGCCGCCTCGACTTTCGGCGCATGGTCATTATTGGCACGCATCAATAACAAAGAACGAAAGCGAACCGAATGCAATGAAGTCGTAACGATAGAAAACAAAATTCTCAATAATTCTCTGTAGTTCCGTCTTACTTAGTCGCATTTGCTCTCGCTTCCGTCCTTTACTATTTTCGCTCGCCAATAATGACCATACGTTGAAGATCTAGGCGGTCCGAGCATCGTGAGCGGAGTTCTCTTGCCTCTGTGCACTTTTAGCTGGTGGCTGATGGAGCTAACGTGAAAGGCGTATAGTACCGTCAGTTGTTCCGAGAAATTCAAGTGTGAGTCCGATGCCATAGTACGTATCCTCGTACACCCCTCCTCCAATTCGCTCTGGGACTGACCAGAGTTCCTTCGAAGTCACATTCCATACCTTCGCCTTTTCCTCTATCATTATATTACATCGCTTTTAGGGATGATAAATACCAAATTTATATATCCGGTAAAAATGTCTCTCTTTTCCAAAATTCAGGGACTGCAGCGATGGGAGTCCATGATAACGGACTATAGGACCCAAACTGATGGGGCTTAGGATAACAGCCTCGCCAAACCTACAGATCGCTGTAACCCCAGCTTTTTCAAACTCTCTTTCCTCCACTCCTTTAAGCTACATTCCTGAAATACCGAGGAAAACCTGCGAGGACAGTCAGTCTTTTAGAAACGTGCAACACTTATACGACTCTTCATCTAAGTTTTGTTCAATAAAGTTAAGTAAAATCAATTCTGTGAAGTTTTCTCCCTCGAAGCGTTCTCCCAAAGTCATCTCGACGACACCGGAAACGACTATTTGCGTTCTTTGCCCACGTCCCGTTAAAGTACGTGAGCACCTAAACGAATCACATACCAGAATCGAAAATTCTTGTGAACAAGCCGTACGCCTTCGAATCTGACCATTCACAAGGGAAGGAACCCAATTGCCTTGGCAGTTAAGGGTTGAATAAAAAAAATTGGTGTTATTTTCTTATTTTTTCGTGAATAATTACTCCGTGCTTGCTTGTACTTGTAATTCTCGCTCTCCCTGCACACTAAGAATCCCTGCGAGAAATATTATAAGCTTTACTTCGAATTTGCTGGATTTTCAAGCGCAAAACGTGTCGCAACTTTATCATGGTGAGAATTCCTTTTTGAAAAGTTTGTAACTTGTCGACTGCTACAAAATTCGTTGCGCGGAGTTTGGATCCATTGTGATGCGATCGAGACAAAGGTGGTGGCTCTTCATGCAAGAGTAAATCGCGAACGGAGAATGAAATTGTTTCATCTGAAGCTTTGTTTTCGAGAAAGTTTCTAGTTTGTATATTCTTTAGGCGTGCTGGTGAATGTGACTCGTTCGACGTGTCTGCTCATCTCTCGCCGTTGCCATTTATTGCAAACTCGAGTGGATGTTTGATGAATATTCAAAACTGATTTCTTTTTCAATAGCAGTGAATTATATAAAATTATTCTTTTACTGTGACTCACTCTATGATAGATTACTAATATTAAATATTATACTTTCAAATCTTATGTTAAAATATGTATAGGGTGCCCTACGGAACATGGAGCAGCTATATCTGGGAAAGATTTAAAACTAGAGAAGAATGTCATAAGACAAAATTAAAGTGTATTAAACGCTACATATTCCTTCGAAATTTTTATACATTTTTGTGCATCGGTGCAATTGCATTTGTGTCCTAAAGTAAAACTCTAGTTATGAAATAGGCTATTTAATAATCTGTATGCTTTTTGTACTAGAAAAAGGTTCATTATATCTTAGATTAGATCTTTCATTAGATTAGATATACTGTATATAGATACGAATATCAATTTCACTTTTTGCAATGAAAAACTAGAAAGTATAGCATTCTATTTACATTAAAAAATCAAAGTTGATATTTGCGTCGCGCCTTCTACATTTACATTTAGAATGCAACTGTTGACATCTGACTATGCTCCTTTCTAAAACAAAGAAATACAAGTTTGATATATTATTTATATCGACAAAAACATAAAAATTATTAAGAATTATATAAGAATTATTTAGTTACTAATTAGCCATTGTAGCTGCCATATTCTATATTTCCTATCTCTGAATACTTACCTAATTTGATTAAAATATTTCAAATCTTTTCACGCCGTAAGGAGCGTAAAATATTTTAATTACCGTCTAAGATGAAACATTCCTTTGAAACGTTCGATCTCGTATTTTCCTTTAAAATCAGGGCAACAGATTCTATGTCCGCAGCCATTATCTCTTTATTATCCTTGTTTTACAACACTTAATTGCGGATTATACCAATTACCCAGCTACGAGAAGGTTGTCGCGTGTGGAGAGCCAA